TGATAAGAATGTGATCTTTTTCAATGTTTTTAGGGTGTATAGCTGTCCTCATTTGTTATCCACAAGACTCTATTCACCCAAGAGGAAAAAAAAAACCATCAACCTTCCCTCTGCTTTTCATCTGCCAAAATTAATGTGGTGACTTTGTTTCTATAAAGGGAAGAGGTAGGTGGGAACAGCTCTTCAGGCATGTTGACTAACAAAACGTGAGCACTACACACCAGGCATGGAAGGGAGCCTGATGTGGATGTGGGAACTGCCCAGTCACACACAAGGCCCTCTGTTGCACAACCTGGCACACAGACATGCAGCTGCGCAACCCAGCTGGGAGACAGGGGAGGCCAACAGCTCTGTGAATTCTCCCCTGCCCCTGTCACATTCAGGCAGATGCCATAACGCTGGAGAAGACATTTGCACTGCGTGACACAAGATTGATAAAAGTTAATTTAAACTGGTTTGGGAAACAAGTCTCAGAGCAATGTGCAGACATTCATCCATATTACTACACACAAACAGAATTTAACTCCTCCTTAATGACATAAAAAGAAGACTGACAGTGATGTTTTACATAACAAAATAACAGATTGTTGCATTATTCACTGACTCTGTTACCATGGTGCTCAGCTAGCCTTGAGCATACTATCTAGAATAGTAATGTGCTCCAGGTATCATGATGGTAAAACCCAGTCCAGGGCCAACATTGAGTTGGGGTTTTTGTACAGCTGCCTGCTGAACTGTCTAGATTACTGACTGTCATAGGCCTTTGGTACTACCAGTGTTTGTCTGCAAGACTGAGGCCATGGTGAAGAAGAAAGAGAAGGTCAGAGTCTTTCTTTGAAAAATATTTTGAAGGAAACTGGGTATTATCATCCAGCTCTGCAGATCCAGTGACTGCTGTGGATGGCTGAGGAACAAGGCAGTCAAGGAATTACATGCAGAAAAAGTGTTGAAATACCTGGACTTCCTGATGAAGACATTTCTCTCAAACACTGCAGGTATCTTGGTGAAAAACAGATGATCCAAATGCATATTTTTCCTTGAACACGTTACAGCCATTCCACACAGGTATTGTACTCATCACCAGTTATTCATTAAGCAGCATGACTAACATCTGTCATGTGGTGTTTGTTCACTCATTATCTGTCCATGGGTGAAGAAGTCTGTTGCAGTGGTAAGCAGGTTGTTTTGGTAAAGGTTTTTATTCTTTTTTTTATTATTATAATTTAGTATGTGTTACCATACATTCAGGGCACAAAACGTGCTGTGTGTAAAAAACTTAGGCCAAGAGGTGTGAACAATCCCATGGAGAAGTTTTGAACTTTCTACAAATGTCTCATATAAAATTCTGCACCATCTGCAGACCAGCCTTGCCCTTTCGGTACACAGTGGACTGTACCAAAGAAGCCAAACTGCTTCTGTACATCCCTCAACTTACTTAAAGCCATACATAGCTAGATGTGTAACACTTGAAAGCAATGTTGGAGGCATCCAAATTTCAATGGGTAAAGAAAAGTGAAAGATGCAGAGTTGACAGGCATCATCGAGAACTGAGTCATCAACCAGCCAAAAATGGACATCCAAGTGAAAAATGGCACAGACTTGAAGAGAGGCTCATAGTTTATACTCTGTACAACATGCAGTCTTTGCCACTACATGACAGGTTTGCTTTGCCCAAATATGTCTTTTATTTGCTCCATCTAAAACATTTTCTGACATTTACTCATTTATTTCAGGCTGTTCTGGGAAACATCTGTACAGCAAATGTGTCTTAGACATACAGCTTGGATGAAAGAGATTTCCTTTTGGACTGGACAGCCTGAAATATTGACCTATGCAAATAATACAGATGATTGATACCTGTAGTATTGCTCACCACAGTGCTATCTGCTGTTTCTCCCCTGATTTTTTTAATGAGATTTAAAAGTCTTTGAGTGAATAACCCCAGCCTTTTCATTAACTTAGCTAGCATGAAAAGCTTTGGGGCCTATATGGCAGGTGCTGTGGGTTAACAATAGGAGTACTGTTTAATCCAAGGGCAACAGAGAGTAGAAAAGGGCCATGAATAAAAGGATATGGAGTCTTTTATGAGGTTAGGAGAGGCATTTTAGATCAGGAGGTGCAAAGAGAGGCCAGCTACAGAAAACATTCCTTCTTGCCACACTCAGACAGCAGTATGAAATTATGCCTTGTAATTTTTCCTGCAAAAGACAGAGGAATCAAGGTGAAGTATCTAAATGCAAGAAGTCTGTTCATACTCAGAGGATCACCTCTACTTGTAGGAGTAGCTGGCTATGGTTCCTTCAGGAATAAACTATTCTTCTGGATGGTGTTCCTTATCAGGCTCACCTCTTTGAAACTTGGAGAAATACAAGGAGACAGTCTAACAAGTGCAATAGCATTTCAACACAGGGCAAAAAATGGTATGTGATTTACAGGTTGGTTTGTTTTTAAACCCTGACTCAGTTACTGAGAGTACTAATTATGCAATCAGTGATTGGGACTTTAGAGTGGAAAGTAGAAATGTTGAATCAACATTGCAAACAGACTTTCTATAAAATGCCTGAAAGTGGTTTTGCTCTCATGTGCACTTTATAAATGCAGTAGGTTCAGGGTCATTTGTGTCATTCCTTGTGCCTTTAAAATAGTGTTTCAATGGTATAAATAAGCCTTTAGAGACTTAGAGACAGATGGAGAAGAGTACAGTTTCAAAATTTAATCAAATACCTTCCAGTTACAAAGCACAGATGTTCAGGGTCAGGAACACACAAGTGTAATATTGCTATAATGTGTCAGGCTACTGATGCTGCTGTTGGAATAACCTAACTGTTTGCAGGTGACTCAGAAGGTGTGAGAGCACCAAAAGGAAAATTATATCATAGTTTGCCTATGGGAAGAGTTCTTCCTCAATACATTCAGTCACTTGCCATATTTACATACCTTACAGTTTTTAACTTTAATTTTACATTATTGAGGCAATGATGGATGCTCACATCACTTACTTATGTGGCCAATAGCTTTTCAAGTTTGCAGATGTCTTGGGCCAAGTGATAACACCTGGGAATAATTTTCATGTGGTAATTATGCATCATGAAATTCTTCTTTTCCTTTTAATTAAAAGTTCTGCCTTACAACTTCATGACACATGCCCCATTTTTGCCTTAATAAAAAAAAGGTTACTGTAGTTTTTCTATAATATTCATTATTTTTAAAATGTTTGTTATGATGCCTTCTACTTGATCTCTCCTCTGGCACATATAAATGCTTCTTTTTTTGTTGTTTTTTTACTACCACAGTTTGGCAATCCTTTTCTCTTTTTAATGTTTCCTTTACATAACTGGGGAATCCCATGCAGAGACAGTGATGCTGATCATGTAACATGCTTGTGGATTTTGTGGTTTCTCCAGCCCTGCATTTAGGCTGCCAGGAACCTTTTGCAGATACATTTTTACTGAGCACTATACATGTCAGTAGGAAGGACTGTTTAAGGGGCCACGTAATTTTCTGTGGGCAATCTCACAAGAGCATCCATTGGGCATGATTCAAAGTTTTACAGATAGGTGTCTCCGGATACCTCCTGACCAAGGCATGTTCCTTGGCCTTCCATGTGCTCTCCTTTTTATTTTCTTATATCCTGTTGTGTATTTCCTACTTGTTTCCTTCCTCTTTCCCATTCTCCCTCCTCCCATTTCAACTATGTCCGCATGAGAAATTTCAGCTGGCTTATCTCAGCCCTTCGGTGTGTGCACTCTAGCTGACATACCTATACATCCCCCAATCCTTAGTTTTGATGCAATTGATATGGACAACTCTATATTTTGAGTGTTTTCTTCCTGGCGGTGGGGGGAGCTGTAGAAGGCAGAAAATAAGTTACCCCCACAAAAAAGTGATTATAAGATGAACCCTGTCCACACCAGAAGCACTTTGCCAGGTGCGTAACACACCACTATATCCTGTCACTGACTTGCTCTTTCCCTGCCCCATTTAACCCCCTTTCCAGCCCCATTCATTCAAAACAGTCAGGTTGCCTTCATTCTGCCTTGAAGTGTGAAGGTGGAGGAGCATGCACTTAGGCATGGCTGTCAGCAGCTCCTGGGAAAGGCTTCACGAACAGGGTGAGCTTCAAGAGAGCTTCAGCCCAGATGGGGTTTTGAGCATCTCGTGGAAAATCACTAGCCAGGATCTCCCCCTCACTCCCGAACTCGGAGACGCACAACAGACACGGGCGTGCACAGGAACATTTATTGAACGTACCAAATGTATGAAGAAAGGGAGATGCAGTTCCTGCTGTAAAGGATCTGTAACGCACACGTGTGGACAACATCTCCGGGAAGGGGTGAAACCTGCCAACAGCCGCCCTTCTTTTCTCCCCAGAGCTCCTGCTCGCCTCCCCCACCCCGCCCCGCTCTTCGCTGCATCCAGGAAAGCCACAGCTCTCGTTTCATAGTCTTCCCGTGTCGAAAACAAGAAACTGCGCTGAACCTGGCAGCACGAGGGGAAAAAGTAAAATAAAGCTGAGGGACGTTACCCCTTCTTCCCTTGACTCAACAAAAAACGGAGGGAAAAACGCGGCTCCGGGCGCAGGGACCACCCCTGTTCGGGGGGGAGGCTCCCGCGGCCGGGCTCGCCCCAACGGCCGCGCGGGCCGGGCGGGAGAAGGGAGGTGGCGGCGCCGCTCCCCTCCCCTCCCCCCAGGCAGCCCCTCGCGGGCGGGCGATGGCGGTGGCCAGACCCCAGCCGCCGCTCTCCCGCCCCCGACCGGGGCCGCGGGGCCGGACCAGCCCGCGGCGGGTCCAGGAGCACCCCGGGGCGTCCTGCCAGCCTTTCCCGCGGCGGCAGTCTCGCATGCGCGGGCGGGTGGGGGAAGGAAGCGGGAGGGCACCAAATTCAAATCGCTGCTGAGGAGGGAGGGGAGAAAGCTGGGGGAAGGAGGCAGCCAGAGGGGAGTGGAGTGGTGGAGGAGGGAGGAAAAGAGGGAGGAGGAGAGAGTGGGAGGGGAGTGTGGAAGACTCTAAGGGAACGCGGCAGAGGCCAGGAGAGGAGGCACGGCGGACGGCGGGGAAGGCAGAGGTGTCAGGGAAAGGACAGGGCGGCTTCGGGCACCCACGGCCGCAGCGCGGGGCAGCCACCCCGGCCCGCCCGCCGCGCTCCGCCCGCCCTCCCGCCGGCACCATGGTGGACAGGGGCCCCTTGCTGACCTCGGCCATCATCTTCTACCTGTCCATCGGGGCGGCGATCTTCGAGGTGCTGGAGGAGCCGCACTGGCGCTCGGCTACCGACGACTACAAACGGCAGAAGACGGAGCTGCTCAAGCAGTTCCCTTGCCTGGGCCAAGAGGGGCTGGACAAGATCCTGCAGGTACAACGGGCGCGGCAGGGGCTGGGGCTGGGGCCGGGGGGAGCCGGGCGGCGGCAGCAGGTGCTGCCGGGCGCCCCGGAGCGGAAAATACCGCGGCTTTGGGCGGGCGGAGTGCTGCCGGGCTGGAAAGCCAGTCGGCTCCCCGGGAAAAGCCGACCGTAGCCGCGTCCTCACAAAGCCTGGTGCCTAAAAACTGTCCCTCGAGCGGGAGCGCGGGGAAGGCTCTTAATCATTCCTAGCTGCTTAATGATAGAGTGATTAAATGGGTCCGCGTTTCTTTCTCTCTCGTCCCCCCAGTGATACTGGAGCTCAGGGTTGATTTCGGTTTTAGCTGGCTGGTCCTGGGAGCTGAAGGCGTGTACGCACGGAGTACGCTCCCTCAAGCCCGTCTGCTCCTAAACCTGGTAGCCGTGAATGCAGCTCTTGTTTTAGCACCCAGGGTGGTTTCTCCTGCCTCAATGGATGTTGTGTTATGAGGAAGGGGAGGTGAAGCCAAGCGTCTTGATCCTCTTCTGTTTGGTCTGATTTCCTTTCCTTCCCCTCTTCTTTTTTTTTTTTTTTTTTTTTTCCCCGTACTGAATACTCTCGTTGTGAGGAAAACGTGTCTGGGGGTCCGAGTGCGGGTCCCGGAGGTCAGTTGGGGTAACCGGGGGGAAGGCTGAACGCCTCGGGCGGAGGGATGCTTGCAACTCTTGCGCTGTCCTTTTTTTAGGAGAATGACTTCTTTCCAAGCCATGAGTTGATAATCGTCCTGATAAATTGCTCGTCTGGCAGAATGCCTTTTCAAAACTAATTATTAATCAATAGTATGTATTAAATCATAGAGCAGTATAAACTTGGTTAGTGCCTTTTCATGGATGTGGTATCCATTAAAACGTGGTGGCAGGCAATGGTGAACCATGAAAAATAGGCTGCCCAGATATGTGGGGCTCCAGTGGTGAGAATGAGTCATTTGGGACTTTATTTCAGAAATGTTTATATTGACTAGATCTTCTGGTCATTGTGTTTTGGATTTTTTTTTTTAAATTATTTTATTTTTAAATTCACTAAAAGTCTACTAAAATGCTAATATACAGAAGACTGGGAAAATGGTTGATTAGTTCTATTGGTATAATCTATACTGTGCAAGCCTAGAAGAGGATATGGTTCTTAGTCCTAAAAGTTTGTGGTTTAAATTCTCTTTCTTCAGTTGGTGGCTGCTTTCTGTCTGCTTCAGATAGCAGAGCTTTCTGGCAGTAGTGTCCATATTATTACCATCTTAGTACCCTATTAAATGTGTTTGTGGTATACAGTGGAACGGGTGGGTGGAAGCTTGAAACTTTAAAGGGATGTTGGAAAATGAAAGACATGCTATGTTTTTTGAGTATACTTTTGCTGTTCAGGAATCTCAGCTGAAATCTTACTCTAGGTTATATCCCAAACCTGTCTTAACATCCTCAAGAAAAACACCCGTATTTGGATTGGGATGCATGTTAAGCCTGGCATGCTTAACTTGCTGCAGACATAATGCAGAATCTAGATTCTGGCTCAATTTAGGATGAAATTCATGTTGGTATGAGGGTATCATTAGTTGTTCTGGTTTTTTTTTTTTCCCCCCATGATACTTATCACAGTTAATCCTGAAGTGGCAGAAGGATCTTTCTTAAAATACAAAATTACTATGAAAAAATTATTGGACAGTTCATTAGAATGGACTGTGTGATAGAGCAACACTGTAGAATGGGGATGGGTGCAGAAGCAGCGAGGAGAAAAAAAATGGCATAAGGCGAACTATGGCCAGATCAAAATACTTGGTTTGACTATCTCTCCACAGCACAACGTGGAAGGCCCTCCCTCTTCAGTGTGTGTTAGCTCCTGGTGATATTCTCATATTCATGTGATTTCAGTTTTACCTCTGTACTACTTCTAATCATACCTTAACTTTCCATGTCCAGTCTTGCTGGTCTGATGATCCTTCATAGATATTCTGTTGTCATTGTAAGCTCAGGTTAGCTAAAATGTTAAGTCTTGTCTTGCTCTTATTTCACTCTTACTGGTAACTGGAAACTTCACTGCTTGCTTTCTTCCAGACTTGTAGTTTTGTTCCTGTTTTTACTCAACTTTTATGTGAGAAGTGATGGTAAGAACAGGAGTGGCATTTCTTACAGAGGAGGATGGCAGGGTGAAATCTAGCATAGCTGAAGCTAACTGAGGTGGGGGGGGATTCATGTAAGGACATCAGGATTTCATCACAAGTAAGCTGTAAAGTATACCAGAAATAGTCTTTGTAGTTGTTCTTTTTCAACCACTACCCATGCTGCTTCTATTGGGTTCTGCTGAATCTTTAAAACATTACTAACACCTGTTCTCTTTCAGCAAATCCTGATCATCCTGTTCTCATATCAAACCTCCAAATTTATTATCTTACAATAGATCCAGAATATTATTGATTTGAATACATGCATTTCCCCCCCCCGGTTTTGTCCCTTTTGAGCCTCTTCCTCTAGCCTCTTCCATGGACTCCCTGAACTTGTTCTTGAGATTTTTCATGATTTGACTCATTTGTCTGCTCTTGTCTCTGTTTTTTAAATGGCCTTCAGTCTTCATCTTAGACCCTTTTCTCTCGCTCTGCTTGTGGTCCCCACTGACACTCATGTGACTTTACGGAGGTGCATTGAGCTTTACTATTACTTCACTGATATTCTTTTTAATATCCCCATTTAAACCACAGTAGAACATAAAGTTTTTCAACAAATATCACCAACTATAGAATTTGAAATGGTTGTTAGTAAAATAAAAGAATTCCAATGAATGTTCAAATTGAACTAACAATGACCATTTTGTTTCCAGAAGCAGCCTGAAAGGTGACAAGGACTGACTTATTCAGAGACCGATCTCTCTGCTGCCCTTGTTCCCCACCCAGGTTAGCTTGTGTGTTCATCTGAGCCTAATGCTAGCTGTAAGTGCAATGAAAACTCTGTGTGGAATGGTTACAAAGTTAGATCTGTAGTGTGATCTTAACCACTTAAAAAGACAAGTAGGTTATCAGCACAGATTCTCAATTCACATACAGACTAGTATCTCTGTACCAACAGTTCAAGTGATTATTAAGTGCGCTGTATTAGGTCAAATACTGTCTAAAGTTTATATTCTGTAAAAAAGGTTTCACAACACATTACAGTAGAAATACACTGCAATAAATGTTTATCGAAATTGTGTTTAACATACTTTCAGAAAACTCAAGCTGAGTATTGTAGGATATACTAAAAAGAAAGCCTTTTTACCCAATCCTAACTGAGAAATGCCTAAAAATAAGCTTGTTTAAAAACAGCTTTTAGAAGTCTTTTATGTGAAGAATCCACTTGGTTTTGATTATTGTAAGTACCATATCACTTATCATAACTATAAGAGGTAAAGAAAGTACTTAAACTCTTCTTGGAGAAATGCTACGTAGACCCTGATTTTAAAGGTGACTCACTCTGGACAGTATATAGGCTGGTCGCTGCCTGACCACACTCTTCTGGATAAAGCTGATTGCTCGAATGAAAATGTGGCTGAGATGCTTCACATGACAATTTATGTAGGCCTCCAAAGACACTCACCGCAACCATGTATTGACACAAGGGACTATGTAATCTCTCCTCACTATGTACAATTACCTTGGAATAGAAATGTCTCATAACATATCTGGAATATCTGCAAAAATAAACATTTTTAATAATGATGTAACTGTGCCATATTTATTGGCATTGTAGAATCTTAAAAGTAGTGTAAGACCTCTGTCTGTTGATAAACGCCTATGGCCTGTTCATAAAAGTCTATGGCTTGTCCTTGCCACTTGCTGCTGTGGCCCTAAGTCCTGGGACTCTTTAGGAAGGGGGAGAAGGCAGAGACCTGCAGTGATGACACCTTTGCCTACCCTCCTGTAGGAATGAATTTTGGAGACTGAAGCAAATGCAAGGCAATTTAGTAATTTCCCTCTTCTCTAGTTCCTTACTTTTACTCTTTATTGCTCCATCCTGATTGTGAAATATCAGCTTAATGATAAAGGAGCTATTCATGCAAGGAGGAACCTTCTTGACCCTCATGTCACTATTCACATGAGCAAAGGTTTGTCAACACCAGGCCACATCTTATTTACTGGGAAATCTCTTTTACTGGCCTGCTACAGTCATAAAAAAATTAAATGCTTCCCATTAATAAACATCAAGGCCGGTGACAAAAAAGGGAAGAATCTGAAGATGAGTGAAAATGGTTACTTTCAAAACAGAGCAATAAAATGAAAAGAGAAACTGCTGGCTTCCTTTAGGAGAAGCAGTCAAACATACTGAGTATGAGAACAAATAATTGAGGTCTTTATTTGAAAAGCATGCAAGACTCTAAACAGGCCTGAGAGATAACTTTAGAAGCCTAAATGTTTAGACTTAAAGCCCAGTGCTGTGAACAAACATTTAGAAGACTTTTAAGGAGAGCTTCTGCTGGGATATACATCACACACAGGACATTTATGCTAAAGGAAATAAGTCAAGTGGCTTAATATAGTTTATCCCCTCTGTGTTTTTAAAGCCAGGATGTCTTCTCCACTCACAAATACCAACAGGTGCATTTACAGGATTTTGGTTTGTGTTTGAGGATGCTGAAGTTTGTTTCTAGATTTGTTTATTCTTGGAGTTTGTCAGTTTTATTGTGAAACTTTAAAAATACTCTCTGATTCTGAGCGGTTTCCCACAATGCTTTACTTCCAAGCTTCTACCCCAAGGTTTAAATCTGTGTGCAATACTCTTGACCGAGTCTGCAAACTATAGTTTTCTTAAAAACTTGAGGTAGGTTTTAAATGCTTTTTGTTAGTTTGATGTTTAATAAAGAGATTATGGCTTTTGCTTACTCTTTGTAGAGTGATTTGTTTTCCAATGTAAAGTTAATATGGCATATCTTTCATAATCTTTCCCTTCCCCTGTGTTCTTCAGGAGGTGCATAAATGAGATTCTAGACTACTAGGGTTTGGTTGGTTTGTCCTTAAC